AGAATACAGACTGTAGAATAAAGTAGTGAAGCATGTATGAGATTACAAGATCTTTACTTCAATAAAAGTGCACATAACAAAGGATAAATAAGGATTTGCGATGATAAAACTAAACGAACAAAATTTAACAATTTCTTTCGGGACTAAAAAGTGTCTTAATAAGTTAAAATACACGAGGACCAACACTGGTTACAACTTACTAACGTTACAGGCAGTTTATTCTTTGATTCAATACGCACTCCGATTGCGTGCAAATACAGGGAACAATGAAGCCAAATTGACCCAAATTGTGTCTAAGTCTTTTAAAATTCATGCACGCGGAGGCCAGGGCGAGGGCTTACTCTCCGAATAAAGTATCCCGTCCGGCAACGGCCAAAAATAACATTGCCACAACGTTGCTGCAACGTTGCCGCATCATTATTTTTGGCAGTCACATTGTGACAACATTTCCGCATCTACTTCAGGCAACCACTTGCCCGGCGAAAAGATTAAGGCAGTATGCGGAAGGAAGATCTGGTTCCTCTGCCTCCCATCAAACATGAATAACAAAAATGAGCAGCATTGAAAGGGTATACCTCCGATACTTGGTGAAGGGGATAGAGTCGACAAAATTCATAAGTAATGATGATTTAATCCCAGCCACATAAACAAGATGGAACAAGAAAGTTCCGATATTGTGAATAGGCAACCAACTGTTGGCAATTAACTACCGAATATACATCTGTTGTATTATATAGTTAAGGTTATTTTGTACCACCCTCATCATTGCCAGGTAGCAATTTGCTACGAGGCTACGACCCGAGGGGATCATACAATTGCGTTCAAAGTATCGAACTTGCAATCAAACCCCGTGATGTGCCAACAATAAATTTACAAGATTTACAAATCTTACTCTATAATATGAAATTATAAGAGTAACGAGTAACGCCTGAGGCGCAAAGCGCTTCGGCGGGTCGAACCGCAAAGCGTTCAGGGGGCATATCCCCTAGTTAAGGAAAAGAGCTATGTATAGCTCTTATACAATATCAGTCTCAAGTTCCGAGGATTCCTTAAGTAATAACGGATTATCTTTGCTGGGGTAACCTAGGAAAGTAACTTGCAAGACAAAACACTGACGAAGTGAATAAGTACTGTACAGTTCAAATTCTTGAGTATTTTAATGTATATATTTAAGAGCTGGACAAAATCACTCTTAATTCAGTTCTTGTTTCGATCATTTCCTAGTATTACCAGTAACTTGCGAGAGATTTTACGAATGTGCGAGAAAAATTTTGAATTTTCGAAAAATTCCATGATAAAATTCTGTGTTCCAGTACATCTAGATGTAGGAAAAGGGCGTGTGATGAGCTTCCATTGCGACATTAGTATTCTATCGTGGGCAGGGTGCAGAAACTTCCAGACACGCGGCCAGTGGCGAAGCGCGTGAATGATCGATTATCGATACTTCTCCATTTGAAGCTATAGTTGAGAATCGATTATTTAGGTGTTCGTTGCAAACACCCTGTTTATCGATCCTTTTCCATAGGTTTAAATGGGAGATCAATCGATATATCGCAAAGCACGCCACGCGGCTGGCCCAGTCATGTGCCGGCCGCGTGAAATGGGGCAGTCCTTGCGAGATTGAAAAAGACGAGGGAACCCCTCACGAACCACAGCATTCATACG